TTTTTGAGCTAGAATGCTCTACTTCGAACTTGATCAGTCTTTTTATGATACAAAACGACCCTGAAAATCCCAGGTCACTAGCTCAATTTGTTCTCGAGTTATCGTGATGACAGACAGACAGACAGACAAACACACAGACAGACAGACGCGAAACTTTTTGATCACTGGAGTAATAGGCTTCGCTAATCGCTCAGCCAATAAATACATTTCTAGTTAACGCTTGCCTTCTGGGAACCGGTCCCATAGAAATGCTGTGCCATGGGATATTTGGACTGGGTAGTGTACGGCCAGTCATTCACCATTCACCGTTTGTTCGAATGGTCGAATTTGATGTGATTGGGCTGGAGTGTTATCATCGGGGGTCAAACTGTTGTGAACACACTTCCTCCGTTGCAGTTCTTCTCGCTGGCCTGTACGTACGTCGTCGTGCTCTCCCAGTTCACTCTCTCCTCGGAGACCTCCAGGACGAAGTTCGACAAGCTGCCGGCCGACCTTGGCATAGAAAACACATGATCGCAGTGAATTCCCCTTGTTGTGTGCCCCGTGCACAAGCCGACCCGAAAACAATAAAGTCATTACCCACCGAACCTGCTTTAGCCTACCACAGCCTGCGTTATTAATGTTCACCCGTTCTCACTGTCCCCGCGCCAAACCAAGGCGACGGCTACAGACACCCACAAGACACCCACGAAGCCAGACGCAGCTCCCGGCGGTGGCGCTGGCGCGCGCCTCCGCCTCATCATATTATCACTCCCCGTTGAGAAAAGGATTGTCTGAATACAGTATGGACTTCGCCTGGATCGTGGCTGGTATTGCGCAGATAATCCGCAGTCCTAATCCATAGTGTTGTGAGTGTTGATCAAGGTGTCATGCAGCTGAAATCCAGACGGTTTTTTCACCCTCCACTCCTCCATAGCTCGTTAGGGGTGGCCAACGGCTTGCGCACTTCCTGAGCGTTAAGATGAATGACTCGCTACGCTCGCTGGGGGGCTCCGCCCCCCAGACCCCCCGCGCGGGGGCG